CTTGAAATACTTCCCTGTGATCAAACATACTACCGTCAAACGTAGCACTGCGCTAAGCACAGTGAGCACCGTCCCAGTGCTGGGGAAGCAGCCCCACCCAGACTCCCTCTCCTCTCCAGCGGAGACCCCGTCCTGCTCCGTACCTGCGAGTTCAGCTCCCCAGGACCTCAAGTAAGCGGAGCCAGACAGGACTGTCCTCCGGTGACGTCTGTTCGTGCGCATCGTGTCTGCGGAGTCCGGCCGTGTGTAGGGAGTTGATTCTCCTCCCTCTTCAAGGCTGCCTGATAGTCGTTCTTTGGCAACATCACATCTTCTCTGTGCTTCCTCCGTGGGTGGACATCTGGGTGGAATGACCGTGGAGAACAATGCTGCTGTGAACATGGGCACCAAATGCAAGTCCTGCTTCCGTCTCCTTTGGGTGTCGGCCCGGAAGTGGAACAGCAGCCGCACTGGCTCACGTGCCCCGCAGCACTCGCAGGGCTCCGTCACCCTCCTCGCCAGCACGAGATGTTCATACATAGGATGGGTGTCGCCGTCTGGACTGAGTACCCAGCAGACCAGGGCCGCTCCGTGTGAAGGGAGGAGACCTCAGCAGCAGCACTCTGCAGTGTGTCCCAGCTGTCCCTCTGAATTTCCCTGCAGGGAGCGTCTGCGACACACTCAGGCCCCGGGCTGCTTTGCCAGTAAGTCACGTGGCCATCTTCTCGGGTGGCTCCCACTCGGCCAGTGTTGTGCCCGAGTGTGCTTCAGTCTCAGTCTGCGCCAGCGTTCCCCGAAGGACACTCAGGGAAACAGACCAAGCTGAAGGTGGGCTGGCAGGGAGCCGTGCCTTGCCAGGGAGCCGTGCCTTGCCAGGGCCACTTCCCAGTTCAGCAGGGCTGGGACGCGCGCTTGGAGAGCCCTGGCCCCCTCTCTGCACACCACGGTGAGGGCATCTGGTGGCGCACGTTAGGCACCCGGCCCCAAATCGGAAATGCTTCAAAGGCTGAAATCTTGAGTGCGGCATGAGGAAGTTCCACCCTGTGACACTCTGCCTCATGCAAAAATCATTTAAAATATGGTGTGAAATGACAGCCGCAGGCTGTGTGTGTAAGTGTGTATGAGACATAAATGGATCCCCGGTATAAAACGGGTCCTGTCCTCCAAATATCTCATATTGCAAATATTCAAAACAAATCCCAAGCCTGAAACACTCTGGTCCCCAGCATCTCGGCTAAGGGACACTCAGCCCTAGCACCTGCCGGTGTATGCAGGGTGAGGCTCGTTTCCATTCAGGTTTCCTGGGGAAAGTCAGCTCTGTGTGAGTTAAACACCGAGACTTTCAGTACTCCTACTTGGCCAACTTTGTTCTGCATCCTTAACTTTAAGGTTTCTGCTCAGGAGCCCATGAAATTAAAAACTGCCCTTCCTGCCTGCCAGCGTGGCTGCCGTAATGCACGTATGCACGCACCGCGATGCTATTTGAAGTGCCAGTCTCCCTGTTGGGAAAGTCATCTGCTGATCATCGGGCTTAATTAACACCGGGTGACTTATGTATTGACCACCCCCGCTCCTGCTCTGCCTCCCTAAACAAGAGGCTGCTTTAACTGTGGTTGATTCAGGTGCTCCTCACACCACTGCCCCGGCTCTAGCTGAGCTGCAGGGTAAGATCAGCTCCTCCTGTGCCCAGGGCTCCCCTCCCAGCATGAAACAGACTTCCACGGTGCTAATGGCATGGAACGCAAGTCTGAAGTAAAAGCTAAGGAAACTCGGAGGTTGGGAGGGGGAGCGGCTGTGCTCTGTATAGACCGCTGCACACAGTGTGTTTGGCATGGTGACCCTTGTGGTCCGGCAGGACAGGGACGTGGGCACAGGACCATGACCGGATGCCCGGCTTTGCCTGAGGGAAATACCCACTGGGTAGTACCTGAGTCCTTGGCTTCCATTCAGAGCCACATGTGGATGGCCACGTGGACAAGGCCGTGTCCGCCCCTAGCGGTCCTGTGAAGGTGGTCACCGTTCACAGCTGGCCACTGAGAGCGCCAGGCTGCGCTGCGTGGAACGTCGTGGCCCCCGATTCTCAGCTTGCCTTTCCTCGGCTTCAGTTACCCATACTCTAAAAATACCAAGTAGAAAACTCCAGCACTCAACAGGTTTAATGGCTCCCTGCTCTGAGTGGTGGGGTGAAGGCCCACGCTGTCCCCGGCCTGTGACTCGCTTAGTAGCCGCCCAGGTTATCGGACGGTCGGGTCGCCTGTTTGTGTCCACATTACTCGCCTTGCACTAAAAGCGACCCCGGAAGGCATGGACTGTGATGCGGGCCGTTCCTGTACCACAGGGCGGGTGCAGGGCCTCCTTGGAGCGGAACTGAAGGCATGAACTCCGGAAGAGAGGGGGTCCATGGGTGTGCTTAGCTCCCCTTACAGTCTGTGACTAGAACTGCTCTCTAAAGGCGTGGTCACTGTCTCTCTGTCACTGGATTTAGCTTGTGACGACGCTTTCTCCTGCATGCGGGGCGGGTGTCCAGGCGCCGAGGTTTCCGGCTGCGTGGGGTCTGGAGATCACCCTGTGGTGCAAGCTGCTGTGACCTGCGTGTGGGCCGGTTCTCAGGCTCCGGTGAGCTCTGTGACCCTCTGAGGAGTCAGGCTCCATCTCCCACCCGCGCAGCCTGGATTCCTAGGCTCTGTGGCCTGCGGCCAGAAGGGCGCCGCAGCCTCCTCCGGAAGTGTCTCCCTGTGCTCCCGAGGCCGCGCCCGGCACTCAGCCCTGGCTTTGCGCTCCCGGGACTGCTTGAACTTGGCCTGTTCTGGGCAGAGAGATGTGCACGTGAAGGGCAACACTGTGTCCACCATCTCTTCCCACAGGCAGCTGTGGCCCTGTGCAGGGGAGTCTCCAGGCCGCACCCCCGACTACCACCCTTGCGTTGCAGACTTGTGCCCCTTCTCCGATGCTCGGGTGGCCCTGGGGGTCCTGCAGGAGGGACACCGAAGGGGGCAAGCAGCTGGGTCCCCAGGGATGCAGACAACCATCAGGCCCAGGGTCTCCACAGGTGCTGCCGGAGCTGCACCCTGCAGGCTGCCTGGGCCCCGAGCCAGAGAAGCTGGCAAGGCTTGTGTAGGGCACTGTGCCCCCGGAGCCTGAGGGCACAGCCAGCCAAGGAGGACAGGGCAGCCCATAATGCTGTGTCCAGCAGTGGGACGGGGACGCGGCCACAGTGACCCTGGAGGGCGGCCCTGGCTCCCTGTCCTCTCCGGGCCTGTGCACCCTGCACCACCACTCAGTCTAAGCTGCCGAGGCTTCTGGGCCTTGCCCGACTCCACCACCACCAGTGCACACACAGACGCTCATGCACACCACACACACTCCTCTACAGGCACATGCGCGTGTCCAAACATGCACACACTCATGTTTGCACACAGGCGCTCATATGCACATAGTCATTTATACATACACACTCAGGTACACATGTATGTACTCATGCATTATACACAGTAACATGCACTCATGTAGATACATATATACACAGCCACACATACATGTAGACACACAGTCACACTCGTTCACACACGCATACATTCTCACATGCACACTCCCTCCCGGTCACACACACCTGCACACACACAGTCTCCTCCCTGCCTGTTCTGGTCCGGCAGAGCCGCCCCTCCCTCGTGGACCCCAGCAGTTTGCAGCCCCCTCCACACACACCGGCGCCCCGAGAGCTGGGTACTGTGCATGGTGCCCGCACCCTCGCCTCGGCCCGGCAGCCCCGTGTGCAGTCTCCCCAGGAGATGGCTGGTTGCTGTTTAGAGAATTATTTTTACAAAAAGCATTCTTCACTCCGTATCCTTCCTGCGTGTTTTTCAGTAATTGAAATAAAAGGCCAATTTAATAAAAATAATGGTAGATTTCTAAAATACCCTCAGAGAAGGGCAGACACCCACGTCACTGCTGCACTGAAGCGCTTCCCAGCTGGTGACTGCGCTCTGTGCTGCGGGTCCCTTGGGGTGTTAGGAATTCCGCTGAGAATATGCCCAGTTGCCCCGACCTTTATCCTTAGGGAGCTTAGAGCCAGGAAGTGTTTGAGGCTTCATTTCGGGCAGGAGTTGGAGGAACCGGGATTTGGAGCACCATGGATCCTTTGAGGTGTTTAAAGTGTGGGAAGCAGAGTTCTGCATTCCAGTGCGGCTGCCGCGCCGTGCACTAACTGACCTCGCAGGACAGCGAGCGTGCGTGCATGTGGCCGGGCGTGCCCCACAGCGCTCCCTTCATCGGGCGGCCTGTCCCCTGGGGCCCTGGTCACCTGGGGCTCTGAGCCGCCCGCCCTGCCCTGCCCTGCCCTGCCCTGCCCTAACCTGTCCTGACCTACCCTGCCCTGCCCTGCCCTGTCCTGACCTACCCTAACCTGTCCTGACCTACCCTAACCTGCCCTGACCTGCCCTGACCTGCCCTGACCTACCCTAACCTGTCCTGACCTACCCTAACCTGCCCTGACCTGCCCTAACCTGCCCTGACCTACCCTAACCTGTCCTGACCTGCCCTGACCTGCCCTGACCTGCCCTAACCTGTCCTGACCTACCCTAACCTGCCCTGACCTGTCCTAACCTGCCTGACCTGCCCTAACCTGCCCTAACCTGCCCTA